CGGGCAGGAGAGGAGATGAAATAAAATGTGTCTGCCACCTCTGGAGATCAGCTTCCCCTCTGGAGATGTAATAAACTAGGGCATGAAGGGAAAGGCCTCTCTGGTAGAGAATGTGACTGAATGCATTGCTGGCCCTGACTACCTGAAAGAGCTGTCTGCACACAGTACAAGTGGGATTTTGACTGCGTGTTGGTCATTTGTAGAAAGGAAGCATTTAGCCTTTGAGGAAAGAGTGATGGTGTGTGGCAGTGCAAGGGGCCATTTGGGTAGAGGTGAGAAGTGCCCATAAATGCCTGGGGAACACGTCAGTCTGTGTTTCTGCACACACAGATGGATTTATAGATGTGAAAACAAATAAAATACACAGTATATAAAATACAGAATGTAGCATATAGATAAAGATATATATCATATCTATATGAGAGCACAGGCAGGTGTGCACAGCAACAAGGACAATATGCAGAGCCAATGGGGTTGGACAAGGCTATTTCCAGAGGGTAAGGGGAAAGGAAGGCTGCTTGCCAGCAGGCTAGCATAGCCAAGCAGATTTGCTGTTCAGCTTCATTATTTACTGGGTCCAATTAGGAAGCCAGGGGATAGGCAATGTGGCTGAGGCAAGCAGGCCTTCAAAGCCTTGCTGCTGCACACATCAAAGCTGCTGCCGCAGATCCCTCTGCAAAAAAGGCTCTGCCAGCTCCGAGCAGCAGCAGCCGCCTGGCTCGCGCTGCTCAGGGTCGTTCCCTCTTGGTTTGATTGTCAAGCCTCCCGGGCCCATGCTCTCTCTATCTCCAGCCTCCAGAGCAGAAAGCTCCTCTTTCTGATTCACTGGGACAGAGCTAAGGAGCTACAGCTTGGCAAGATGGTGTTTAATGGGGCTGGAGCAACAAACCAAGCTAACTAGGAACATGTGAAAGACAAAAAACCTGCAGGGAAGCAGGTTGCCTGCGGTGATGCAAGGGGATGTTTTAGGATGTGAAGAGCTGCACTGAGTGAGAAGTCATCCACCTAGGGAAACCTGAAAGGACCCTCACTGAGAAAGGGCTGTACTGAACCAGGCAGAAGAGCCAGGAGACAACCCTTGTCAGCAAGGAAGCTTTGGCAGTACAGTCAGAATTTCACCCCTTGATAATCTGCTCAAGGCAAGTGTCTTCTCTTAATGGGAATGGAATGGCTCTCTTGCCAAGAGTTGGCAGTCCCTCTTTCACCTAATAAAATATGTTCATTGTTATCGGTACCAAAGAGCATTGTCCAAGACTTCTCCCTCCCTGCTTTGATAAACTGCATAGTGACAACCATCAGTTCCCTACCAACGCTGGCTCCTGTGCAGAAACATTTGTAAATTCACTCGATGTATAAAGCTCTGTTCCTGCTCCCCCCACCCCCTGTTTGCCTTAGAGGTTAGAGTTAATATGACTCACCTAATCTGGCTGCCAAAGTGAATTAGTGAAAACATCTCTACAGCTCTCTGCAAGATATCACAACCTGACATTTCTCTAACACACTGTGATACATCTTTCCTCTCCCTGCTCTGTACGACAACACCTCAATTTTATATAAATGCCTTTTGTTAGAAATGGTTAATGTGCTCTTAGAGGGGACAAGGCAGCAAGGAAAAGGGTCTGTCTTGAAAGTGAGAGCAGCTCAGTTCTTGTAACAAAATGTTGATGCTCAGGGTCACCAGTGCAGAGACAAGAACAGTGCTACCACTTATACAGCAAAAGACTGTCACAGAAACTTTCCCTGAAGTATTATGCTTATATGTGTGTCCTAGAGCAGGGGAATGAGGAGCTGAAAAGGGTTATTGATGTTTTTGACATGCCCTTTAGAACAGAAGTCTTGCCTTTCAGTTACTTCCAGAGCACTCCACTGGGCAAGCCCTCAGCTCATCATGTCTTGGCAAGGGTTCTGTGTAGCTGTGAAAGCTCTCCTGTCAGACATGGTACACAGTACATGGTACAAGTGCATGTATGTATGCAGGGGAGAAGCTCAAAAACATGTTCCCTTGGGAAGGTATCTACCCTTGTAGGTTACTTTGGAGCTCCACTGATGCAGTTCTCTGACAGACTTAACAGCACCCGTAATGAGGGTGCCACTCCATTAGAGCTGGTTAAGTCACCCTCAACCCTGTCTTCATTACGGTGACAGTCTTGTGACAAGGGCAAATTGCAGGAGAAGCAAGTCCCACTTGAAATGAACCCTGTGTAAAAACAAGGCAGAATTGCAGAGCAAATGAGTTGCAAAACAGAGGCAAATTATGTTTTAACCTTTTCTTTGTGAGTCTTTCCCTGATGTCTGATTAACTTTCCAGTCAACTCACTGACCTATCAACTGGGAGTGCTGCTGTGAAAGGAGAGGAGTGTTGGTTGTCAGCTCAGTTTGGGGATGGGAGTTTTAAAGTGCTTTATTAGCAGGTAGCAATGTGAGCAATATGCCATAAGAAAATCTGGGAATTAAGAGAGTTCCCCAACAGAAATTATCCCTGCTGTATCAAAACCAGAAACAATGTGTTGCCTCTACAGACAGCAGCATGATGTAGTAGTTGCAATGCAATCCTTCATCTGTGTTCAGCCATGGTAACACCTCATCTGAAATGCTGTGTTCAGTTTGGGGTATCACACATCCAGAAAAACGTAAACTTGTCAGAGAGGTCTAAAAGCAAAGAACAAGAATGATCAAGAGCCTAAAAAAACATCACCTACAGAGGAAGGTTGAAAGACCCGGGCAATGTTGTGCCAAAAGTAAAAAAAAAGATGACAACTGAGGGAGGAACTAAGTGATTTAAAAGTTGATAAAAGGCTATTGCAGGGAAGGAGGGAATGATTTGTTCTTTTGTCTGTAGTGGCTGAGACAAAAGTAATAGCTTTAAATTGCAGCAAGGGAGACTCAGGTCAAATTTCAGGAAACTGCTCCAGTGGTAAGGACAGCAAAGCCCAGGAACAGATTGCCAGGAGTGGCTGCAGAATCTCTGCCGCTGGAGGGCAGAGGATGGCTGTGTCCATGGCATGACTCATGTGTCCTGCCTTGAGACTGCAGAACAGATTAGATGGTGATTGAAGTCCCTTCCACATTTCTGAGACTCACCTAATTCTAGTCCTGCTGGGGTTAGGACTCCCTAACATGTTCATGACTTCCAGCAATAAAAAACACCTGTGAAAAACCCACCCTGCTTCCTTCTCCACTGACTCTTCACAGCATCAGCCCCAGTACAGGGCAGAGGACTGAGAGCCATGTCCTGGCAGCAGGAGCCAACTTTGCCTCCTTCCCTTGTGCAAAACGCTGCTGCCATGCAGGAAGGTCCTGCAGCAGACTGTTGGGGGATGCAAAAAACAAAGCAGTTGTAAATTTTAGACATAGCAATGAGATTTTTGCTACCTGAACATCTGGTAGGAGCTGGAAGAAGGGACTGCTGATTAGCCCTGCTGAAAGAGAGGGGGAGCCTTTGTCTTTACATGAGTTTAATAGGTACACTACTGTTTTCATGCTGAGTCTCCATGACAGGGGGTGGTTTTCTCCTAGAATGATTCTGAAAATTGCCTCTGAAAAAGAAAAATAAAAAAAGACCAAAATATTTATGTAAGGGACAGAGTTCTGAGCAGATTTTGAAGCTTCTGAAGTTCTTCTCTGATGCTGAAGGGAATTGCATTCAGCTGGCTTCACCAGTGTGTGTGGCCAGGCTGACCTGGCCAAGACACTGCAGCAAGTCTGTGCCCTGGGGTGGGATTTGTTGCAGGTGGCTCCATGGGAAGTTCAGCTCCAGAGACCAGACTTAGCCACTGCTTTCATGCAGTGAGTGCCATAAACCAAGGTGAACAGTAGGCACTATTTGAACTCTCTCAAAAACTGCACTTTTGTGAAATGGGCAGAGTTTCAGAAGTGCTCAGCACCTGTTGAGCAGAAAATACCTTCTGGGCAGAGAGTTTTTTGGAAAATCTGACCACTCTCTGAGGAGCCTGAATGGGAGCTCTTGTGAGCTGACTTTTTTTTTTTTTTTTTTTCCAAATCTGTCTTTTACCAATTCAGGGTTGGGGGCTGATTTCTCTAAACATACACAGGCACACAATTGGGGCTTGCCATTTCCAATGTTGCAGAGCAGTGCTTGCAGCCCTCTGAGAGGAGGAAATGTGGTTCAGATTCTTTCCAGGAGGTGCCTTATTTTGCTTTTCTTTTTGAAGGAGTAGGCTAGATATACCAATCCTAATATTTTCATGCTTCCGTGGCCACTTTCATGCAATGAATCTAATGTGTTTTACATGGGTTAACCTCACTGCCCTGCTCAAACCAGGAGGTGATGGGAGAGGGGGCTATTTGCTGCAGTTTACAGAGGGAGAGCAAAGGAGTGACTCACTCAAGGTCAAGCAGTGAGTTAAAAGCAGGGCCACAGACCTCCCCTGATTCCTGCCCCCATCCATAACCCCGACTGACACTCAAGTCACTGTTTTCCAAAGTGTGTAAGGAGGCAGCACGGTTTAAATGTGTCGTTTCATATGTACAGTAGCTCAGGAATGCATGATGATTATTGGTCTCTGCAGATCAAATTACGGTTTGTTTCTCTCAGTTTGGTTGTGTTTAACAGTAGCTTGATCTGATCGATGGCACTTCAAGGTGGTGGTTGCTCTGGGAGACAGAAAGATTCACAGTTTTGCAGTGGAGAAAAGGGTGCTGACAACACATCTGAGGACCCAGCTAGCCCTGGGTCCAGCACATCACCCACAGCATGACTAACCTCTGGTGGTACTCAGCCATCACACCAGTGAACTTAGTCTGATCTTACGTGGTGGACATTTTGCTTCTCAGCCTGGGCAGCCTGTGAGATGCTATGGATTGTACCACCTGTATGGTGCCTTCCAGATTTTCAGTTTTCAGCAGCTTCTGAAATAACTTTAAAACAGCTCATGACTGCTGCTTGTTTGCAGACTCCATGTTGTGATTGTTCCTCCATAGCAATTTCCTAAATCTGAAAGCCTAACAGAACCACTCTCTGTATTTTTCTGTCCTACCAGGCAGAGAGTTTGAAGGTGAGGAGGAGTACCTGGAGATCCTGGGGATCACACGAGAGCAGTCGGGCAAGTACGAGTGCAAAGCTGCCAACGAAGTTGCCTCAGCAGATGTCAAGCAAGTCCGGGTCACTGTGAACTGTGAGTACATCGCAGCTGGGGCAGGGCAACGGGGAGAGCTTTGCCCACGGGCAGGGGTTACTTCAGGATAAACAGAGAAGCCTTTCTGGGCTTGGATTATACAATCTGAAGAGAGGACGCTGAGAAAACTATCTGCAATCAGACACTTGCCACAGGGTACAGTTTGTGCTTTAAACCTGGTAATATATAAAAAAAAGGCTGGGGGAGGTGTGGTACAAAGAGAGAGACAGAGAGGGAGAAAGAGAAAGAGCTGTGATTTGCCCCCGTCTCTCCCCTCCGAAACGCTGGCAATGCCTTGTTTTCATTCATTGATATTCGGGTGAACAGTAGCGTGAAGAGAAGCTTCACCAAGGCAGCAGGGAGAGATAAGGGAGGGCTCAGCTGGCTCAGAGCAAACACATGCCTGCCTGCACCCAGCCATCTCTGCAGTGCCTACATGGCTATCACAGCCAGGGGACACGGGGCAGAGGCACGTGCTAATGACAGGGTGCAAAAACTTAACTTTTATGCTGGTTTCAGGTCATTAGTTTAAAGCTCTGTCTAAAAGACCCTTCATGCACCAGTGCAATACAGAAAGGGGTTTTGGCCAAAGGATACAGCAATCCCCTAAAAGCACCAAGTAAGCTGTGGCTCACTTCCACACATGTGGATTGGGGCATGGATCCCATCCCACATGTGCTTAGACAGATGTCCACTTCACTCTGCTGGCATGCTCCTCTCACAGGAACACAAGATATTTCAAACTGATGTTACTCTTTAATCTTGCCTGTGTATATGTCCACCTCCATATTTGTATGGCTTATATTTGGCACTTGAGTAATATAAAGACAGCTATCCCCATGTACCTGCTTCATTTCCTTGCTTGGAGGCTAATAACTTTGCAGCAAGGATGGATGAATGGGAGGTATGTCCTCTCCCGACCTTCTTCAGTTTAAATTGAGACTTAAACCAGAATATTAACTTAAATTGAAATTGGAGATGGCTACAGACATATTTCTGGGTGCATATTCATGCCTTGATTCACAAGTAGAACTGCTAGGGAGCAGGTTAGGGCAGAGAGCTGATGGCATCAAGGGTTTCGGGCAATACCAGTCTTAATTTGACTGTAGGTAATTATAGCACCTTTTAATACCATTCTTGCTCTTCATTTTTTTCCCTTGGTCCCATGTGAGCCATCACATCAGATCAACTTTTCTGTCTCACTTAGAAGTTGAGGTTATAGGCTCCCTGCAGCATCCTTTGAATCTACAGTTTTTTATATTCCCTTAGAAATTGGGTGGCAGTGGTTTGATATCAGCTGCCTCATGGGGCCAAATTTGGCATTAATATGAACTGTAGTAGCAGATTTTCTGTGCTGAAAGTATAGAAGTGTCAAAAACAGCTGAGTTTATAAACTGGAGACTTTCCATGAGAACCAATTAATAGTTTCAAACATTTCCGTGAAACATAATTTCAATGGTGGTTTAATGTGTTTGAAACAGATTGTTTGTATAAAGTCAGAATGTTTGATTTTGATTTAGTTTCAACACATAATAACTATGCCACGGTAAGATCTTAAACATTTTAACTGTTGAAAAATATGAAAAAGTGATGTTAATATGTGGTGTAATTTGTAATGTAAGCAACTTAAAATTCCTTAAGGACAATTATTTTTTTGAAAGAAAGGGAAATAAATTTAAGAGACTATGAGGACCAAGCAGGAAAAAAACCACTCCTATTATAAGAATGAAAACTAGATATTTGCATACATCTTTCCTCATCCTGCTTTGTTAAAGAACACCACAAGCAGCATAAAGCATGAAAACCACAGTAAGTTTGAAAAATGAGGATGAAAAATAGGGCCTGTCCAACCTCAGGAGCTTCTTGGCCATCTCTTATCATCTGCTGAGGAGCACTGTCAGCTCAGACTGCAGGAGAAAGCATCTCACTTTGCTTTGGTCTCACACTACCACCTTCAGGCTTCCCAAGTAATTGCCCTTGCACAGCACAGACAGGGAAACTGAGGCCTAAGGAGAGTGGGAGGAGAACAGCTAAAGGGAACCCACCCCTGGCTTCCCAGGCAGCAAACGCTACACACAGAGCAGCTGATTCCTAGGTGCAATAGGCTGCTTTGTTTGGGACTGCCATCTGCCCCTTCTCCCAGGAGAGCACTGCACTAGCTTCTTAAAGTGGTGAATATGGGGACTGCTCAGAGCGAGGGGCTGGGCTCCCTGGCAGCAGGCTGGAAAGCAGACACTTGCTGGAATCATTTCTTACAACCATGGAGAGATGCCTATTCATTCTGTGACTCACCTCTTGTACCAGATTCATGAAATGGAATGGTTTGCCTAAGAAGATAGACTGCTCAAACCAAAAAATCAAATAAGAATGGTTAAAAAATCACCTTTGCTATCCTTTTCTTATCCCTCCTCCTTTTCAAATTAAAACATTTACATGAACCCACAGCCTTTGAATGTAGGATCCTATTTATGTAAACTTATTAATATTTATGATGTTAGAGGGCGCACTGCAATATCCCTAAAGCCTTGCATAAAATCCCGATTAAGGTCAGGGAAGGGATCATATTGAGATGGCTAATGTGTTCACAAACAAATTTCCTTCCCTACATTCTCCAGACAGAATTATTTTTTTTCTTTGACTGACACAATCCGTTTTGCTGCTTTTTTTTTTTTTGGCCTTTCAGTTCTGGGACAGATACAGATGGCAGAGTGTGTTTCATGGTAACTTGAGTCTCAGCAAAGTATCCGTCTGAGCCGCAGCCCTGTAATCTCAGGGTATGCAAGTATTAGTGACGAGAGACAAGGCACTTATTCCTTGATCCCTCTCAGCAGCCAGGTGGAAATAATTCTGCCTTTTAACATGTAAAGCTTATCACTTAATATTTTGAACATGGGGCTGGGATTGAAGATGCCGGTGCCTACCCTACCTGCTATCCAGCAAGTACTGAGACCAAGCTCCAGCAGAGCACACCAGTATGCTTTCCAAGTTTGGTTTGCCCATGGCACAGCACTCAGACTTCAAAGTAAGCAGAGGTGGGAGCAGCATGCTGGACTGAGGGCAAACTTCAGGCAGAGCAATCACAAGCAAGCCCTTCTGGAGCTTTTCACAAAGCACCATGTCCAGGTGATCAGGATTTGTAATCTTGGACACCTAAGGGAAGTGTCTCAACATTGGCTCTCTGAGTTGCACCCACAGCTTCTGCTAAAGTTCTTCTCTTTTAAACCATTAATGTATTTCTGTTTCATACATGTTGCCCCAGTCCTTTCTTATTATATTTTTGGCATTAGGCAGAGTTTGTATGGAATACAATTTTCACACTAGTGTTAAACTCTTACTTTATTCCTTTACTTTTGCTGTCTTCCTTTACCCTTGATGAAGTCTTTCTCTCATCTTCTTCTCTCTGATAAGCCCACGTGAACTACAGATCCATAGGTAAATATTAATAAATTGCAGAAGTCCATCATTAACCTTAACTTTGCCTGTGTATGCCCATGCATTTATGACAGAACTTTTTTCAGCAGTGCTGAAGAGAAGCACGTGTAAGGAGTGCGGGTAATGTTGTCTATCAGGGAATGTTCAAAGAGCAGCGTTCTCCAGAGGAGCAGGGAGGAACAAGGGCCTCAGCAGACAGCTGCCGTGGGTCTCCAGTAGCCCAAACAGATGGCATGAGGCAGGCAGCCCTGACATAGTTTCACTGCTTTGTTCCACCTGGAAGTGTGTGGATTGACCACGTGTTTCCTTCCTGCAGACCCTCCCACCATCACAGAGTCCAAGAGCAATGAAGCGGCCACGGGACGACAAGCCTTACTGCGGTGCGAGGCATCAGCAGTGCCCACGCCCGATTTCGAGTGGTACAGAGATGATACCAGGTAAGGCCTTTAGCTCACCTCCTCCCTCCTCTCTTCTTCAGTCCATTGAATAGGGGCTCCTGTCATCCTCTCCAACTCCTCTCAAACAAATTGCTCCTTATAATACATTTGAGTCACAGTGTCCCATCAGTCTCAGCAGAGCCAGCATGGTCATGGCAGGAGGAGGCAATTCCTCTCTGCACTGGGGATGCTGAAGGAAGTGCAGAGGAGGGAGCTCCTGCCTTGAAGTCAATTATGGGCCAATACCCAATTAATACACTGTTCACATGTTAAGTAGCCCATGATACAGACAAAAAAGTAGGTGGTATAAGTGTTCAATTAGGTAATGCTGCTCCAGGTGCATTCCTCTAGGGAAAGGAGCTGCTGAGGTATGAGATTCCCCCACCTGTGCGACCTGAGCCTCTCAGACTTGCATATGAGAATAAATGAGAATAGAAAAAGGATCTGTCCTTCTACCTGAGCATTTACCTGGCATTAAGGAGGTTGTGTTAGTACCCTACATTATAGGGTAGCCAGCCCTGAACATGGTGCCTTGGTTCAGGGGTGACTCAGCATTGCTATAGGCACATCTTGAGAATCTGTGTGTTTCACTAAGAATATGTTGCTCAAGTACAGACTAGCCTTCAGCTGGCCATGGTGCGTTCACTTCCAGAGTGACTCAGTGCTGGGTAAATGCTTCCTCCCTTTCCCTTGTCTTTGCTTGGTTCTTCACTGCTTTACCAGTGGCATTTAATTCCACTGAACTACTACATTCCTTTCATTCCCTCCTCCTGTTTTCCATCTTGGTCTCTTTCTTTGGTCTTCCTTCTTTGGTCTCTTTTCTCTCACATCCCTTCCCTGCTTCCCTCTATCCTCACCTGCCAGCTGGGCTGAATGGCTTTGCTTTGCTGTGTGCTGGGGAGGGATTTCCTTCCCAGTACACAACTGCCATTGCACTAAACACCTCTTCTCCTGCCTTCCCAGGATAAACAGCGCCAATGGTCTGGAGATAAAGAGCACGGGGAGCCAGTCTCTGCTGATGGTGGCCAATGTCACTGAGGAGCACTACGGGAACTACACCTGTGTGGCTGCCAACAAGCTGGGAGTCACAAATGCCAGCCTATACCTTTACAGTAAGTACGGGACAGAGTGAAGGGAGGCTCTCACAAAGACACGGCTGTGCAGGAAGCACATGGTGGCCAAAACTCATGAAGGAAGGCATCTGTTTGACAACCCAGTCCCCTCAGACCTCCAGCCATGACCTGGCTTCTAGCATTCTGCTTTGGATACCTAAGTGTTCATACTTGCCTTGAAGCACAAACAGCCAAATCAAAAGGTTTACAGTCAAGCCCTTTGATTGACTGGCTTTGCTGAAGACAGATTTTGTTAAAATAATAAAAATGTGTTTGTTTTAAAGCTGGAAACAAAAAGCCCTTTAGAATGACAGCCCCTTTAATAAGTAGACAGAAGGCCAGGGCTCGGAGGATCCATGACAGCTGAGAAATGACAAGTAATTCAGAGAGATGGAGAGAACTAGCCACCGAGCCTGAGGAGAACAGTGACAGAGTCAAGAAAAAGAGAAATTGGTTTGAAACTGGAAGGGACAGAAATGAGAAAAGACAGAATGATTTTAAAGGGATATACCATAGGGACCATGAGGGAAAAGGTAATCAACAGATGAAATATGGAATAAGGTTCCTTGGATCTCATTCTGCTACCTTTCAATGGCTGAGTTTGTCTTAGTAAGTATAAACAGACAGAAGCTGGGACTAGACCAAGCACTAGAGCAGAGTTACCTGCTGATTCTGAATTTTGCAGCTGATTCAAACCTGACCCTAAACAGAGGCCCTGCCCCTCACCTACCATCCACACACACATACAAACTGTGGTGTATTTAAAATGCAGGTTCCAATTCCAGGTCTAAAACTTGGACTAGACTTGGCCCATGTGTTACTGGCATCAGAGATACACTGCAGCAAAATGACCCGCTCACACAAATGAACACGTAGACACAAAAGTGACTGATGGCAGTGTTCCTGTGATGGTCCCAAATTGAATTAAAACTCTCATGTCATGACCTGCATGTCCTTTTAAACAGAAAACAAAAAAAAAAGAGCTGTGTAAAGCAGTCAGTGTGGGATGAAGTTTGGTCTAGTTTCTGCTCTCACCAAAACAAACCAAAGTTAAAGTTTGGTTATTTTAAACAGATGTGAGGAAAAGGATAAATCCATGGGCATTCTTTGTTTACCACCTTTGTATTTATTTCATGGCAGCTTGAATTTTTGTGAGTTGGGGTATATTTTGTGGCAGCTATTTTTTAAAGAACAGATATTATCATAAAAGAACATATATTTGATTTCCTGTAGCATTGCAGCACACAAAGCAAATTTCTACTTTGAAAGTCTTTTCACCCTGGTCTTGTGACTGTCATGAGATTCAAAAAAAATCCTCAGGCAGCAATCTGGAACACAATTTTCAAATACTCCAGATTTGTTCTTGCTGATATTAATATAATTCTAAGTTTAGAATCCATTATTTGTGACTGAATTCTAAATTTGGCCCTCTCTGTTGGTTCCTGTTACACAGATGAACTGAAATGCATCACTGAAACAAAATATAAGATGAAATTCAATCATGTATATATGCACATATGATTTTAGTTGGGGGCTTAGTTTTGCTAGAGAAGCATTTTGCATGACTCCAGAACTTCACCTCAAAGGATCTCAAAGGATTTGCTAGCAATGAATATTTAAATACCACAAGTCATTTAGAAATGGGCAAATAGCACCATTTTGCAGGAGGAAGGTACAGAGTGAAGAAGTGGTTTACCCATGGTCCTAAAATGAGTGGCAGAACCAGTGAGAGACCCAGGGAAACCTTGCAAAGTTGCTGTAAACTGTTCCATGAGGAAATGTGGCAACTCTTGAAAGATGATTTTCAACAGTGAGGATCCTATTTTAGCCCCCTTTTGATGTGTATGAAGAACACTTTCTTTCAAGTTGTTTGATTTGGTTTATTATTTTTTAGAAATTCAAGGCCTGTTTATACTGGGGGACACTAGAAAGCTTCCCAAGAGCCAGGAGAATAAAAATGCAGGAGCTGAGAGAGATTTGATGATTTTTAGTGAAGTCTTTCTAACTTGTTTTTGCTGCTTGGTTAATCCCTACTTTTTTCACTGTGCAGTTGCTTCATATTGTTCCAGGAAATCTCTGTTTTTCTAGTTAGTGTGGAAGAAGGAAAGGCAGAGAAAAAAAAATAAATTCAGGCAGACTACAGCTGCTATTTTGAAGGTTAAGAAACCAGGGGGGAAATGAATGAAAGGAATCCAGCTTCATAAAGATAAAGAAAGCTGCTGAAAAAACCTACAAGCCCAGATGAAAGAAATGCTGTAGTGATCACACCGTAACTGAAATAACAGGTAATGCACATTCCCAGCCACACACCCAGACAGAAAAATAAAGCAGTGCCAAGCTTTTGCAAGGTGTACAGCAGATACTCAAATACTTGGGAGTGCTTTTCATCCCTGGAATCAGAGATCTTATTTCCTTTTTAAAGAGAGAACAAGCTCACTGTAGAGCAACATCCTACCGGGGAGGTAAGTACAGTGATGGTTCCTCAGTGTCCCATTGCAGCACAAAAAAGAATGGCAGCAAGGAGTGAAGAAACAACCAGAGAGTTAATAATGAGCTACTGGCAGCTTTGCCTGAGGTGGAGGGCAGACAGGGAGCGAGCAAAATGATGTGAAAGAACAGTTTAGCAATAGAGAAAAATTGGTGGCTACCATTTCATGAAATCTCAGTCAGCACTGAAAAACTCTCAGAGAAACTGAGTGCCTTAGATGCCAATGTCATAGATAGAAGATGCATTAAAATACAAAAGCAGCCTCCTTGAGCTGTATGAATAGATAGCTAGTGATCTTCCTTAAAGGATGTAGCAGCAGGATTGCCTGCTGTAGGTGAGATTTATACCCCTCACTCCTGGAGACTGAGTTTACAACAACATAAATATGGCCCTACCAAGGGTTTAACTTACTCGGGAAACTGTCTCCAACAGCAAATATGGAGTATGTTTGTCGAGAGGGTACTCAGGTACAGTGTGATGATACAACTGATCTAATAGCTTGCTGACATTCCTTGCTCCCCAGTCCTTTTGCCCATCCTGCTCTCTTCCACATGGTTTTGTTATTTCCCTTATTCTGCCACACAGTGGACATCCCACTGAAGCTGTCTAACCTGCTAGACCAGTGAATAGGGTAAATGAGCTTTACTGCTCATCTCTCTAAAATGCCCCAAATGTTTTCTTTCATTGTACTGAGGTGAACAAGTTCATGGCTAGGCTCAACAGGCACCAAAGCCCATGCAGGAGAGGAAGCTCTATCACACATCTGTGGGTATGAAGAGTTGGGAGGCAGGGCCCTGTTTGGCAGCATTGGTGAGCCAGTAGGTTAATTCAGCTCTGCAGAGCCTGGGAACAAGGTTTGTAATCCCTAAGCACAAAAAAAGGGACAGTAGTACAGATCTCTGTGAATATTACCTGACAGAGAGGCACAGCCAGGGCTGCCATCACAGAGCAACAGAGGTGAAAAGCAGTGGCACAACTGAAGCAAAAGGGTTCTTCCTCCAAGTGTATTAGGAGGTAGGGAACATGTTTTCTTTTTGTTTTACTCACCTAGCAGTACTATGAAAACCATTATCAGTGAAAGTCACAATTTGTATCTTAACACATGCTACACAGAAGTTGTGTATATATATATATAAATATATGTGTATATATATGTATAAATATATGTATATATATGTATAAACACATAGCAGATACACATTTGCTGGAGGAACACAGATACATGGGTTTGTGCGTAGGTGAATATGTATACATAGGCATTTACCTCTGTGATGTAGAAGCAAACCCACACGCCCCTCCACAGGCACAGATAAGCAGGTGCAGCACTATGTGAATTCTAGCAAAGCAGAGAAAAGAAAGAAAAGCTTTTGCAAATTAGTTGTCCTCTGCCTCCTGCCGAGCTAGCCCATCCCATAGGCTGAAACAGGAGACAGCAGCACAGCGCTGCCCATCCTGATGCAGTCCTGCTGGCTCAGTTGGCTCAATTATGGGAGACTGCCTCATCAGCAGGTCCCCTGCTGCAACTTCTGCACCCTTTGGGGAATCAGCAAGCGTAGAGGTGAAGCAGAAGCTGGCAAGACAGTGCCAATTCAGGCAGCTTCAGGTGGAGCCCAGCAGTTTTGGTTGCAGCAAGGCATGTTCCTAAAAGCTGGCATTAGCCTCTAACTTGTCATTATTTGTTAGTATCCTGCCACAAGTGTGCACACCCCTCCTTCCACTCTGCCGACGCTTTGTTGTGCCCTGAGCATTTGCTTACAGCAGTGGCTGCTGGGGTTTGGAACCTCAACTGTGGCCGAAATCCCTCTTAGTGGCTCTTAGTGCACACCCCCTGTTTTCCTCAAGGCTGTCAATAACAGGGAGACTCAGGAGGGAGGAAAGTGGTTTGGGCTGACAGTCAGAGGGGGCAAGGCTGAGACACTGCTAATGAGCCAGGGTGGAGCAATAAAAGCAGCACACAGTGGGAGAGAGGAACAGAGACAGAGTCCTTGAATAGAAAGCAGCATGATAATGAGGCCATAGTGCTTTGCTTTAACTGCTTATGCTGTGCAGCCTGCAGCCTGCTGTGCAGGAAGAAGGTAAAGGGGAGTTGAGTTATTTAACCAAACTAAATAACAAGGAAGTCTTGTCAGCACAAACAGCCTGCTTTCGCAGAACAATGGTCCCCTGTTGCTACATAAACAGAGAGATCCAGGCTAGACTTGTATTTGATCTCTGCTGTGCTTGCTGTGGATTCAAACAACTCCATTACCACCGTGAGGGCAGGAGTCCTGCCAGTGTCATAGGGATGGGCCTGACCTGCTCAATCCTCATGATCTCCAGCTAGACACAAATTCAGTCTTTGCACCAAGGATACTGTAGAGAGAGCATTGGCCTCCAAATAGCTGGGCCTAGGTGATCAGAGAGTAATAGTAGCCTATTGATTTATCCTGCTAAGTTCTGTGTCCATCAGCAGTGATCTTAGCAGGTAAGCCAGAAGATAACCCACATTGCCCCAGGCCTATGAGCTGTTGCAACTAGATGTCTACCTATGGATCAGTGCATGGGTAGGAGCTTGTCTCAGTCAGTACAAGGCATCCAGCAAGCTCTGAAGCCATAGAAAGGAGACCCAGTGATACCAGTCAGGCCTGGGGGCCTTGTATTCTTAGGTTTGTGTCTAGCTCTGCCAACAGTTCAGCATTTGACCTTGGGCAAATTGCTTCCTTGTTCTGTGCATCACCTGTACCATGTATGAAGTAGAATTAACACTACTGTTAGCCTCAGACTGAGGTCTCTGATACTGGTTTCCCTCAGTATCTGTGCAATTGTTTTGGGATCCTTTGTGGAAGAAGAAAACTGTGAAGCCAGCAGTGACATATATCAAAGTCCTGCTGTGACGCATAGCGAGGAAACGTTATAAAAACCCTATAAACAAGACAGCAGGCTCTGCAAAAACTCTGTCCCTTTCAGAGGACAAAAAGAAGTAGAATACCCTTGAGGATTCACCAGGGTGACTGCTCCCATGCACAGATCCTCAAGGGAGCTGTCATTAGCAAGAAATCCATTGTGGAAAAGATTTTGGGGAGGCAACAACTACCCATGGAAGACTTCCACAGCTCACCTCTCTGCCAAGACTAGCTTCCAGGCAGAGGTGTAGCTAAGAGGAGCTGTAGAGTGATGACATGAGTGGTCTTGAAAGTCAGAGGGAAGATACGGACCATCAGCTCCAATTACCTTCACTGCAGGTGCTTAATCCCTCTTGCTGTTTGGCTATTATTTGTTTAGTTTTTCAAATCACTTCTCTCTGACTCCCAGTCCCAGGGGATGTTGATGTGTATTAGGCGTGTTGCTAGGAAAATGCTCTGTATATGAAACCTACTCTAGTTCATTTAATTTGGGGATGGACAACTCCATCAGTTTTGTATCTGCTGCTTGCTTGGTGTGAAAAGTGGCTTTTCTCCTGCATGTTGCTTATTGTTTTTTTTCCCCCCTTAGAACGAGTTTTACCCACACTCCCCAATCCTTTTCCAGGTCAGTATATGCTTTATGTTGAAGTAGCTCTTTAGCCGGGTCATTCTCCGTCATCCTGACAAATGCTCAGGCCTAGGCATGAGCAGAACAGCTCAGAAATGCAGGAAAATAAGGGCTTTCCCTTCTCATTTACATGTCATTTTCTCATTTCTGCTCACTTTCCTCATCCTTCTTTTCCCCGCTCCCTCTTCAGAAAACCAATCAGCTGAATAGCAACAGCCTTTAACCAAGCTTTGAGTAAGGACATTGAGTTGTCACCCAGGTGTGGGCAGTCTTCAATGAGGTTCAGTCTCCCTGCAGATCTACTTTTAAAACACATTCCCATCCTAAGCTCTCTTTGCCCACTTGATCACATTCTGGATCAAAAGCATAAACAGACCTAAAATTTTGCAAAGACGGTGGAAAGGACAAGTGGAAAATTGAAAATTAAAACACTGCCAGGTTTTTTTCACTCTAGTTGAGCATCTTACCATCCACAGTGAAACACTTTGTTTTCTCATGCTTTTGTCCCACCTCTCTGAGTCTTCCAGTCACATAATCCTGCATCTGAGGCAGAGAGCATGAAAAGAGGCACATGGTGAGGTGTTATTGTCTGCTTTATTCCAAAAGGGAAGTAGATATGAAGGCAAAACAGGGTCTGTGTGGGGTTTTTTTCTGTCTCTGTGTTGCCCACTCCTACCTTAGGTGTAGACAGCATGGTCCCAAGATCCATATGAGATTTGGGGCTTGGTTGTGACCTTTTCATTCTGAAAAAGCACAGAGACCAGACATGTCCAGAAAGCAGGCTACAGCATTTGAAAGTGGTATTCAAAACTGAATCAGCAATAAGGCAGCAAGTCCCTGTGTTCACTGAAAAAATCTTGGCCTACAGCTCCTCAGTATCTTTGTTTTACTGCCATATGAGGAGGATGCACTCAGCTTATGGGTTGCTCAGAGACCTAAATTGTTAATGTCTGCACAGAGCTTTGGGATAGAGTGTTATTAGGAACTCATGTTGTTTTGCAAAAGAGCACCTGCTTGAACAAAGCACCTGCAGGTACTCCCATGAAAAGAACAATAAATGCTGCATGTTACATATGCTCCGTTTAACTACTCTGCTGTTTTCAAATCAATCTCTGCTCTTGGCAACTTATTCAGGCTCAGGATGTAGTCACAATTGCCTATTTAAAAGGCAAATCCACAAATACAATTAAAGGAAAGTACCTAAAAAAAGAAAAAAAAAAAAGGAGGTAGAAATCAAGCTACCATTAAAATTAAATCCCAGAGAGTGATTTGTAAATAACATTCAAGGAGCTGAGAAAAGGAGTAAAGTAGGCCATTGGGAACCTACTGTGGAAAAATAAATCCAATTAAACACCATTATCTTATGTATTGCAAATGAAACTTGTGCTTGGATATTAAATTAAAGTTGCTGAGACTGTTTTGGATGTAGGGTTTTGAGGAGTTTTCCAATTTTAGGTGTTCTTGTTTTTCAGCAGAATTTTCAATGACAAATATTTTTGTCTGATGAAAAACCCAGGGCTCTTTGGTTTTATGATTATTTTTATTATATATCCTTAAATTCCACAGGCAGGCAGTGTTAATTTTTTTCATAGCCAGCCCTGTTTACAGCTGGTTTTGAATTAGGAGCCCATTAAGCTAAATGATAAAGCAAAATCTGCGAGTGAGCAAGGCCAGGGTTCCCATTACAAATACACCTCCTAATCAACTTGCCAAGGCTATCCTGCACAGCTTTAGTTGATCCTTTAAAACACTTTCCCCTCTGTCTCTGAAGCTGTTATATTTTTACTGCTCCCCAGTCTCCTGAGATCGTCTTGAAGGACGTCCTGGTGTGCCATCACTCCTGTGAGGAGTCTCCACGAATTTGTGGTTCCAAATGCTGGTGTATCTCCAGTGACCCAGGACACCCCAAGAGGATTTTTCAGAGTGGGAAAGCAGAGTTTAAATACCCTGGGCCTCACTTGTTTTCTGAAAGCCCTTACCAGCTTCTCTGTTGAGGGCCTTCAGCACAGATGCTGGTGCTTTTCACATTTGCTTTTACTTTGCTGCTGACCTTCAAAGAAACCTTGGACATACAATTTTGTTAGACCTTTCTCTTCCTATGAGCTGATGTTCTGAAATGTAGTCCTCAGCCTTCAATTAAGCTGTTCTTCAATGACCAGAACCACAGCCTTCTTCCTCTTTCTCCCTCAATTTTCATTTCTGTTAATCCTCAGTAACACTTCCCTGCCCTGTGGGGTTTTGAGCATTAATTTAAAAGGAAGGTGATTTGAGACGAAGAGTGCTGTAGTCCTGCTAAGCATTGCTATCATTAGCTAGCTGCTGTGGAAACATCTTGCTTTCAGGCAGGCTGGAGACTCAGAAGCAGCCCATTCAACTAAACAAATGGGACTTGAATTTGATGAGACACTTTCCCAAAATGCTGGTGGAGCCCAGCTGATTCAGCTCTCAGCTGAGTTGTCCTTGGTAAATTTTCCAGCTCTCCTGATTTTGCAGCCCAGTACTCAAAATGCCTTGAAATGTCTTCTGGGATGATGCCACATCATCACATCTTTCTGTCTGCATTGTAACATCATGTTATAATGGGCTGACACAAGAACTGGCTGTCACAAAGCAGGAGCCTTACTGCATCATCAGATGCCTTTTCAAAAGGATTTTTCTTCTGAAAAAAGAGAATTTGTTCATTCCACACCACATCTGCCAATGGAAGGGCAAACGGGGCCACTGTTGAACCTCAAAGGGACCTGTCAGAATTATGGCACTAGCTCCATCTTTGTCCTTCATTGTCTCTCGTCCTCAGCCCTTTGAACATGAACTCCTTCCCTTGGATTAGCACGCGGTGTCCACATCAGAATGGCTTGGCCAGACTGATGGGCTTCAAAACCTGTGAGTCTTCCTCACAGGAGTTTTGTGATGAGGGCTTGCCAGAGGCTAAGTAGGGGCTTTCTCAGGGTGGTGAGCTTGATGCCCTGGGAGCTAGGCAAGGGGGATGTCGTGTTTCAGAAAGCAGTACATCCAGAGCTGCCCACAGGGCAACAAGTGTGTCAGTCTTTGGGGCCTGATAAGACAAAGTCACAGCCATCAATAGGTTGACACAAGATTTATAGCTGTAGTGTGTTAGCAATTAGCAGAGTGGAGGGAAAAGGAGAATGAGGAGTCCTGCCTTTCTGCCAAAACGTGCACTGATCGGAGAATGACCCTGTGTGACTGTAGATCGTAGATAGTCTCCATCTAGCTGTAGCCTGTGTAGCCTGTACTGTCACTAATGCCTTCATCAGGTGGGTGGGAGCTGGGGGAAGGGAGAAAAGAGATGTTCATTTGGGTCTGATGGCCAGAGTGGGAAACAGAGAGCACATTTCTTTTTAATACCCTCTCAGTCCTCTTTCCTCTCTCTGGGTGTCTTAGCTGTGCAGAAGAGAGCTCCTCTGTTGCAGTGGGCACCTTCCACCCATCTCTGCTCACCTTTTGCTTTCTGCAGTGTATGGCCCTGCCAGTTCTGCTGAGCTGGCTGCTCTCGAGTCAACAGGGCCTGCTTTGGCAAAAGGGTGGACATCTGAGTCCACCAAAGCTAAGGAGAGAAGCAAGGGGGATTACAGCAGAGACTACAGGCTGTAAAGGGTTAACCTTCTATGGAGGTTTGCTGACTAGGCTGTCAGCCCTGCCAGTATGATGTGACCAGCTGAAAGATACATCCACCTCTGGAGCCCTCTTCACTGAGACCTGAAGGTGCTGTCTCATTTGGGCTCCAGAAAAGGGTCAGTGAAAATCCAGGCCTTCAGGCCCATGAAGCAAACTGGTTGGCAGAGCTAGGGAAGCATAGACAGGCCAAAATAGACAATCTTGCATTTTTGTGATCCCAACAGAGAAATAGAGAAAAAATAATGTCCATTAAAAAATAATGGCCATAGGTACCAAGCACATGAAGGTGCATTTGGAACCATGTCAAGCCTGGTATTCCCATGAATCCTAAGGCGTTTGAGGGACATAGTTCAGCTGTACGGGTCACTGCACAGGGATGTGTGGCTGGCTACTCAGAGCATGCCTCCCTGCCCTGAAAGCTGCCTGAGCCCTGGGCACTAGCAGCTGATCACACCCATGGCTCTGGGTGGGAAGCACAACCCACAGCTCTCCTTGCTTCTCACGGGTGGTGTCCACGCAGGTTTTCCAAAGAGCTCAGTGTCCGTTTGGTGAGTGCAGAAGGGACTGGCCCTGCAGGATGGATGCTCAGACAGACCAAGGTTGTCTGGCTGCTCAGGGTCAGAGTCAGTCCCTGCCAGCACTGCAGGCACCGAGGGCTGGCACTGAGCTGGGAGCCAAGCCTGTGGGGCCTTCAGACCAAGGGAACAGGGAGGACAAGGCAGGGTGAGGGCAGGCAGCCAGCATCACAGTAATTGCTTCGTGCTATTTCATAGGTACGAGGCAAGGGATGGCACCATATCTTATTTTGGCTGTGTGGTTTAAAGCGAGTAATACCAAAGTCAGAGGTGATGATACTGTCTTCCAAAAGGAGGTAGTATGAATGCAGACAAAAACAGCAACTTAGGGAAAAGAGACATGCCAAGAATTGATGCCAAGCTACCAACATTGCTTGGTGGGTTTTGCTGAATAGCAACAGACAGCTTCTGTTTGTTGAGATTGCTTAAAAAAATTAAAAGCCAATCTGCTGCTTCCCACCCCTCCCAAAAAAAAAAAAAAAAAAAGTGTAGAGGAAAGAAACAAGCTTTCTTAGAGAAAAAAGAGAGGCACAGGGGAAAAGAAAGAGAAATGGCTTTACTGCCTGATCTGTTTCTGTACTTTTTGTTCATTATTTTAATTTAGATTGATTTATTCCAAAATGAGCCTTGGGTTGTATATATTTGCATAGTGCAGTGCTGTGGAAGATCCAGTGAGTGAAGAGGATCAGCAGCAGAGGGTGGGAACTGAGACTGGAAATCCCAGAAAAATATTCCTCCAAGCTGAGCCCTTGCAGTGGATAAGGAAAATGTTTCAAGGTGTGTGCA